TGGTCCTCCACAGGGTCAACCATCGAGAGTGTTGATTCAGAGAGTTGTAGGGTCAGAGGGTGGCGATGTCAGAGGGCAGCGTGGCCTCCATGTTAGGCTGCACAGTAGGACGGATGGGGTTCTGCAGGGCCTCAGAGGCCCTGATCATCCCAGAGGAAGTGGCCTAGGCCCCCTGCCCAATCATGTTCCTGTAGTCAGGGGCCAGTGTCTGCTTCAGCTCCACCACGGAGGAGAAGATCCACTTCACCTGTGGGTAGGTGAGAGTAAATCAGAGACTGCACCCAAGCTCGGGCCCTTCACTCCCGTGGGTGAGACAGAGGCCCCTCCCTCCTGTGGTTCCTCTCATACAGGTAGGAGACTGGGGATGGCAGGGGGCCAGGGTGGGATAGATGAGGAGACAGTGTGGACACACTGTGGGAGGCTGAGAGGGGGGTGGTGTGGAGACAGCTCGAAGATTACACTGGGCCATGGTGAGGCTAATGGGGACATCAGGACGGTAGTGTGGGAGTTAGCGCGGGACAGCAAGGGCCATCATAAGGGATGGTGTGGAACACAAGGAGCTCTCACAAGACAGTGTGAGGATCACATAGGCTCTCGGGAGAGACAGAATGCTAGACAGCGTGGGACACTGCGGGGAGTCACAGAGAGCAAAGTGGGCCCGCACAGGGAGTGGTGGGAACGGTGTGGGGATAGAGTGGGGACAGCAAAGGAACATCATACTGCATCAGGGAAGAGTGTGAGGACGTTATGGGGCAGCATAGAGCGTCACAGGGGACAGCGGGGGGACGGTGCCGACCTTGTAGAGGGTGACAGTGGCACTGTAGCACACGCTGAGCAGGAAGAGGCTGATGAAGACGGTGATGGTCGTCCAGAGCCCGTCCAGCTCCCCGTCCTGGGCCTCAGCACAGTCGTCATCCAGTTCCAGCTCTGGACAGAGAGGGGCAGTCAGTGTTTGTCCCCACAAGGTGGGGCTGGGAGTGATTCCCTGTGTGGCAAGTGGGTCTGCATGGAGGGGGGAGGAGAAAGGACTGGCTGGGCTGGGCCAGCAGATCCTCCCTGGGGCCAGCTTTCCTTCTGCTCTCTATGGATCAGAAACCTCAGTTCACAAAAGTGTTCCAGTTTTGTCCCTGGGCTCAGCCACACACAGTGGACCTGAGGGTGGCCTGGACTGTGTGGGAGACTGCTCTGTTTGCTCCACTCCTCAGTTCTGGGACTGGCTAGGCTGAATCAGGGCCTGTGACTCTTGTGGGTCGTGGCTGTGTAGCCTGCCTGATGTGTCTGTCCTCTGGTGACCAAGCCTAGAGGGCTAGAGTGATGGCAGAACCTGTTCCTGGTGTTGCCTAGACTTCAGACAAGGTCCACACTGGGAAGTGAGCCAACTTATACAGCTTTGGAGTAGTGTCAATAGTGTGAGGTAGGAGCACTGGCCTGAGGGTTCAGGGACAGATTGGGCCTGAGGGGACTTATGTGTGTAGGAGTAGGATTGTGGGCATCCTTGGCAGAGAAAAGTTGTTATCGGCCTCAGTTGGCCCACTTGTAGATGTTGAGGAGGGGCATGTGAAAAGACCTTATTCGTCTTTAGCTTTGAGTACTGTGCAGGGTGCCCATGTGAGGCCTCAGTGGTGTGTGTGTGTGTGTGTGTGTGTGTGTGTGTGTGTGTGTGTGTTTGTGTGTGTGTATGTGTGCCTTGTGGGCTGAGTTTTATTTTAATGGATAAAAGCTAGTTAATAATATGCCTGAGCTACTGGCTAATCAGAAGGATGTTTCTAATGGATCTGGGTTCAGTAGTCTCTTGGACTTCTGGTAGTTCCTCTCATGGGCAGAGAGAGCTACCTTCGTTCTCACCCTATGGCATAGACCTAGTCCCTGGAAACCTTCTGGACTGATTGGAGGGACATCCAGGTTCTGTCTGCAAGCCTAGACCACATATATCTTTTCAGTGCACTTGGAGATATCCTTGGATAGGGAGTGGGGTAAGGACAGACTGAGGGAGAGGAAGTTTGTGTGCTCCTTTCTTTTGGAGAAGTCTTAGGAGCATCTCTGCGCCCTAACAGGTGAACTGCTAGTTAGGAGGGCAAGTGACAGGCACTGCCTAGGGATAAGCCTTTCCAGTGAGGAATAAAATCCTTTCAGGCCAGGCAAATTCAAGAGTGCTGGGTCTGGCCGTACAGACCCATGTTTTCTCCCTAGTGTTAGTTCAGGTCTCAAACCCTGGAGACCCCACAGCCCATGACCTAGGTAGACTCTATATCTCAGAAAGAACCAGGACATTTTTGCAGGGTCCCAGGGCAGTGCTGGGTGCTTTATTTACACAGGGAAGGGGTGGAGGTAGGTACCAATATCTCTTAGGACCAGAGGGCTCACAGGACTCTAAGCTCATTTACCAGGAGCGTGGGAGAGAATCTTCTCTGTGTGATGGTTGTGCAGGGCCTCGTGGACCACAGAGCAGGTGAAAGTATTCTGTGCCTCCCAATCGCTCCTCTTTACATTGAGCTTGCTGTAGAGGAAGTAAGTCTCATCCTCATCCAAGACAGGCAGGGTGTTCTTGTAGTTCTGCTCTGGCTGTCCATTCTTCTGCCATTCCACATCAATGTCACTAGGGTAGAAGCCTGTTACCATGCAGGTGACAGAGACTTGATTCTTGGTCATCTGCTCCTTGGGCGGTGGCATGACGTATACTTGTGGAGCCCGGATTTGCCCTGTGGATACAGAGAGTGGTCAGCACAGAGGTCATGGACAGGGCAGAAGTCTGTTGATGCCAAACTACATCTACACCTTATTGCAGCCACTGCATCACCCACTCTGCAGCTCTCACCTTTCTTCTTGGAGATGGTTTTCTCGATGGGGGCGGGGAAGGCCGCGCTGTTGACCTTGCATTTGAACTCCTTGCCATTCAACCAGTCCTGGTGCAGGATGGGGAGGACACTGACTACGCGGAAGGTGCTGTTGAACTGCTCCTCCCGGGGTTCCGTCTGAGCTGTGTGTACTTCTATGTCATCTATAAACCAGCTAAACTGGACATCGGGATCATCCTGGCTAATGTCCACCACCACACACGTGATCTTGGGACTCAGAGAGATCGTGAGCACGTCCTTGGGCTTTGGGGGGAAGATGAAGACAGATGATACTTCTGGGCCTGTAGATAGAGAAGAATGATGGGAATAGAGCAATACTTGGTCCACCCTCCAATATGGACTACTTAGGGCACTTGCTGCATATAGGGGCTGGAGTGAAAGGCCTATTGACTTACCTGGACATGACGGAGGCTCAGGACAGCCAGGTGCTTCTTTTCTGGGCTCTGCAGAGAGAAGACTGTGTGTTACTGGGGTCTGGAGATGAGAGGGCACCAAGACGGGAGAAGGGAGAGTTTGCCTGTTGTGCGGGCTCAGGGCTGGGTGTTCCTGGGTATGACCTTTGGCAGGTTCATACCTGAGTCTACCTCTGTGTGTCCAGGATGAGGGGCATGGGCATCCAGTCCAGAGTACTAATCCATGAGTGTAAAGGACATGGACAGAAGTCTCCAGAAGGGGGACTGACAGGATGTCCTGCTGTCCCGGACTAAGGTCCCCTCCCTGGCGATGGCCGCCCGGCCTGGTTGGTCTAGGAGGCTCAAGCCGCAGCTCTAGTGAACCCCTCCTCCCCTGCTCATCTCTCACCAATTTTCTTGTCCACCTTGGTGTTGCTGGCCGGGTGGGCTACGTTGCAGATGACGGGCTGGCTGGGCCAGGTGCTGGAGGACACGGTCACTGAGCTGCTGAGGGAGTAGAGACCAGAATGCAGGACAGATGGGAAGATGTGCACACCGCTGGTCAGGGATCCAGAGTTCCAGGTTACGGTTGCCGGCTCGGGGAAATAGCCCTTGACCAGGCATCCCAGAGTCACTGGGGAACCAGTAGTGGTTCCACATGCAGGAGCCAGTGGATAGACAGATGGGGCTGTTGTTGTGGCTGCAAGAAAAGGGGCACGTGTGAGCTTGTCTGGCATGGGTGGGTTCAGATATGTGGAGAGGCCCTGGCCTTAGCTTTGCAGCTTCCACCTCTAGACCCTGGCCTCCGACCTCAAAAATCTTTTCAGGTCATTTTATTTCATGTATATGAGTATGTGCACTATGTGGCTGTGGAAGTTAGAAGAGAGTGTTGGATACCCCAGATGGTTGTAAGCTGCCATGTGGGTAACTGGAACTGAACCTGGGTTCCTTGGAAAAGCAGCAAGTGCTCTGAACTGCGGAGCCATCTCTCCAGCCCCAGGAACCCTGATCTTTCCAGGAGCCCCTCTTCAATCTACTACCCTCCTGCAGGCCTCTGTGCTCTAGGTCCCTA